TGCACAGCTCCAGAGCGGGGAGGTGCTGCATTGCTGGGGCACTGATGAACAACAGTGAGGAAACAGGATCAAACACAAGCTGCTTCCTAAAAATACGTTTTAGAATGCAATTCCAGCCTAAAGCAGAGATTAGGCTTGAAAACTTTCCCTTCTCCCTTCCTCTTGCCCCCCCCTTAAGCCCTCAGAGAATATCTGTGAGAAGCCCTGTCTGGAATTCATGAACACTCCATGGGGCAGGGAAGTAAAACCGTAACCTCAAGCTGCATGAGGCACGTGGAAATCACCCGTTGGTCTCATCACCTGCACGCCAAGAAACGGAAATCAGAGAAGTGATTTAGTGTTTGCTCCTGTCCCCCAGGACACTGGTGATTTACCTCCTCCTCTTCCTCCTCGCCATCCCTCTCAATTATCTGAAGGAGTTTCTTCTTCTCATCATCAGTTTCCTCCAGCGCAGCAGACTCCTCTTCCCGGTGACGGCCGTGCTCCCGCGTGCTCGCCTGCTTCCGACGGGCTTTGATTTCCTCTTCCTCTTCATCACGGGGCCTTTTTGTCCCTCTGTTAGGCTACAGGCAGGGAAAGAAGAGGAATGAGTACAAGTCCTTGCAAGGCAGAACTCCAGTATTACAAGGCACACCGAGGAAATTCTTACAAGCTGCTTCAAACATTTGCTTACACAGCACTCAACAGCTCTGAAAATGGGAAAGGAAATTAATTTAGTGAAGTGGAACATCACATGGGCAGATGAATGCCTCTGCCAAGAGCTGTGTCAACATCCTACCTTGTTTGATCTATGAACACCATTCCCAGGAAAACATCTCCGCAGGCAAAGGCTACAGCTTCCGAGGCAGGAGTCCAGCCCCAGCCACTGACCCATGAGTTTGGCCACAATTCCTATTTCATTGTCAAAATTAAAGGTAATTTGCCAGGGACAAGGAAAAAGTCCATTAACCCTGATCCTGTGGTTTAATTTAGGCAAAAACGGATGGCAGTATTTGCAATAGAAGAAGAAACTCTCCCCTCAAGCACTACAGGGATATTAAACTTGGTGTGTCTTATTTTTCTGAAGGACAACGAGGCTGGAACAGAGCAGCCCATGCTCTACACCTACAAGAAAACAAAGCTTAATTCTTTACTATTTGAAAGTAGCCTGTGTGTTAAGAACAATGACCACAGGAAAAACACTTTGACTTCCCATCACTGCTCATAAGGCATTCCTGCTGCAATCCCAATCCCGACATGCACACCGCAGGCCAGCTCCAGCTGCTCCTCTGCACATCCCAGGGAGCATCCAGCAGCCATTTACCTCCATGGAAAGGAAAAGCCAGCAAAGGAAAGCTCTGCTCCCAGGAAAACCCTGCTCTGGGAGAGATGTAAAACAAAACCCAAAACCCAACCCAACAAAAGACTCCACCCAAACAGCACGCAAGTGCCCATGGCACCCAGAAGGTCCCCAGAGTGCTCATGGCACCCAGAAGCCAGCCGGACCAGCCTGGCCACCAGCTGGCTGTCTGCAGGGTTACCCAGTTACCACCACTTCAAGGAGAGGCAGAATCAAGTTTCTGCTCCTGATTAGCACAAATGGAAGCTCTCGGTGCTGGCCCTCAGCTAGACCTGTTCAAACCTATTATCCATCTCCTTCCGCCCTACATCCTCTCTGCCATTTCCACTTCCATTAGGGACAGAACATTCCGGACTTTAAACTCTTCTAAAGTGCTCCCATGCACTTTTAAAGCAGTTACTGAGCTCGTAATTCAATAGCTGGGAAGTAGAAGCATACCCAGAGATTCTTTGAAATGAAAATTCATTTGCCAGAAGGGGTTGGGGGAGGGGGGTGGCTGTTGGGGCTTTTTTTAAAGCAAATTCCTATTACTTCTCTTCTAGGTACATTAAAGTCTAATTTCACACAGATCCATTTAGAAACAAATGTGTCATTGTCAGCAAGCAGGAGTTCAAACCCTCCCCAAGCAATGAGCAACCCAATAAAGAGAAAGAGAAAAGGTGCTCTTCTAAAGGGAGCGTCTAAGGAAAAACCTGTGGTAAATACATGTTCCTTACTCAGTGCCCTTAGAGACACAAAGGTCCCTGCCCTTCGCCTCACTCAGTAACAGCCAGTTCATCCCAACCCACCCCGGACAGATCAGCATTACACAGAGCGACAGAAACAGGGAACCCTGAACCCTCTAGCAAAAGGCCCCACAAGATTTGCCCTGGTTGCTCTGTGTCCAGGGGTCACAATCTCATTCCACGCTCATTTCTAAGCATTAAAAGAGGAACAAACCCCTCAGTGAGACGTGGCTGTAAAGAGGGACCAGAGGGGTGCCAGATGCAGTGAGGGACCATGGGCAGGGGCTGCATCACCCCAACAAATCTAAATTAAAACTCCATCATGACCCCAAGCCATCTCCTCTGAGCACATCCTCAGCAGCAGCATTTACACCCGGCCTCAGCCTCAACTGCTTTATCCTTTCTGCATTTGTGCATTGTTAGGGGGAGGAATCTTCTGTCACACATCCCAGGAATCATTATGATAAATTATGGAGCTGCCCTGTGTGCAATTATTAATGCTGCAACAGAGCAGCAATAGGCAGTAATTGAATTCCCAGCAAACACATTAAGTGGGCATTAAGGTTTTTCCTTCCGTTATTGATGTTATGCAAAACCTCACTCAGAATATTGCTGTTCTCCAGCACTACTGAAACCAAGAACAGGGGCTGGAGGGAGGCACCCAATGCCTGCCCAGCTCCCGTGGTCAGGGGCTGCTGGTTCAAGGTGAGCATCAGCCTCTGCCCATTGACTCTCCTGAGGACTGGCACCAACCAACAAGAATTAAGCACATCCATGGCTGTGCTGACACTGGTGTACGTCCATAGAACCACAGAATCGTGGAATGGTTTGGGTTGGAAGGGAGCTTAAATCTCACCCAGCTCCAACCCCTGCCACAGGCAGGGACCCCTTCCACTGGAGCAGCTTGCTCCAAGCCCCTGTGTCCAACCTGGCCTTGAGCACTGCCAGGGATGGGGCAGCCCCAGCTCCTCTGGGCACCCTGTGCCAGTGTCCCACCATCCTCACAGCGATGCTGTGCAAACACATATGTTGTGCCCTAACACATTCATTTAAACAGTGGCACAGCTTCATGCACATCTACACAAGTTTTGCTTTCTGGTAGGGAAGGGAAAGTTCATCCTTTGCTAAAAACAGAAACAACCTGGGGTTTATAATCAGCTGTGCTAAGGTGCATTTAGCAAGGAGCTGGGATTCATTAGTAAAGGCACAAGAAGAGCAGTGTGGGACTGTTTTGTTAGTTAAGCTTAATTCCGTTCCACTGAGTGCAGAGCATTCACAGTAATTTATTCCAAAGACATTTTCATTTAAATCTAACACTGATATCACCACACAAAAAGCAGCAAATATAAAAGGGCTTTAAGAAGCTGACATTTATAAAATACAAGTAAACAAAAGCTCATGACTGGTGAAGGGAATTATCTTTGTTTCTCTCCCCGGCCCAGCCATATGTGCTTTGGGGTAAGGACAGACCATAGGTGGGCACAGACCCACCCTGGAAGCACCCACTGGTCACAGCCCCTGGAACACAAGCACCCAGGACTGCAACCATATCCCAAACACAGGACAGGCTCTGCCCAGGGCCCCAGTCTCCCTCAGAGCACCAACAGCACATTAATACCAGGATTAAGCACTCCATCAGATCCAAGAACGTTGCTTAGGCCCCCAGTTGCTTCCAGCCTTCCATGAGCACCAGGCAGGTTTGGAGGAGCCTCAGTAATGGAGTTTCACATTACCGAGACATCTGCTTTACACATAACCTCGTTACTGCGAGCTCAGAAATTGTGCATGAAACCTGAAATAAATCTTCCTAAGTGATGCAGCTCCTGCAGCGGCCGCAGCGTGCCCTGAGCTGCCACAGCAGCAAGCGCTGCAGGAGCTGCCAGGGCAGGAGCCCTGAGAGCAAGCCCCGGTCTCCAGAGGCATCTTCACCAACTTCATTTTGTGTCCAGCATTTGTGACGAACCAAGCTTTGATCAATTGTACTTTGCTTGCTCTTTGCTCCTGGAACACCACACTTCCGGATGGTGCAGGGTCCCAGTGTAAAAATGGGGAACTGGTACCAGGAAAATCCAGAAATCTCAGCAAGCCCCAGGAGCTCAAACTCACCCAAGCTGAGGCAACCAAAATGCAAGTCAAGCCCTGTACTCACATGGATATGGATTATTAGTGTCAGAGAGAAGGAACCCACATCCTCCAGACTCACCCTGAGGAGTGCAGCCATGGGGACCCTGTGGGGCAGGGACCTTCCCTGCCCTGCTTTGATGGCCAGGGATAACACAGCAAAAAGGAAACTAAAAGCTCAGCTGCAGCCAGCAGTGCACCAGGCTGGGTACCAGCACACCAGTAAGTACACACAGGCTCTGCCACATGGGGCAGTGACAGCTCCATGTCTGAACCCACAAGCAGGATGAGAGGCACCAGGATAACAAGGCTGAAGAGTCAAAACCCCACACAGCTGAGCACCCCCTGCACCAGGGCACCCATTCCAGGGCAGATTTACAGGGAATGAGCCACAGCAGCAGCAATCATTGTGCCTTTGCTGATCCACAGGGACTCATCCCACTACAAACCACCCTCAGCCCATTCCCACAGTGAGCAGATGGCCCGGCCCAAGCCAGACCCCACCCCTTATCTGCTGCTGCTTCTGTTATCTGAGTTTACTAATAGTGCATTAAAACATGAGCAGTTTGTAATGATCACTCCCAGCAGCAAGAGCTGCACTGAATGCCAGCTAAAGCAGTCTCCCTTATTACTCCCAACTGGAAGGGATCTTGGGAAGAGCCAGGGTTGGCTCTGTCCCCTCCGTCCCCCGTCCCCCCCCCCACAATGGGAGACCAGACACAGGAGCCGGGCAGAACAGCAGCGATACTTAACCATCAGCTCAGACCATCTGCAACGGTTTTGCAGCAACACATAAAGTTTATGGATTCCTGAGCTTGTATAAACTGCCAGGTGCTGTTTAATTGTATTTTTTGTTGCAAGAGGCTCCTTTTGCCCACACGTGGTGCTGAGTCCGTGGCACAGTGCCCACAATCTTCCACGCCAGGCTTGGCAGCGAGGAGAACATCATCTTGATTAAGCAAGGGCACAGATCAGGCATTTAGAGAGGAGAAATTCAAAACACTGCAAGAGTAAAGCAATTATTGTGGGCTGTGCTGAGGGAAGCTGAGGAGACAGATTCATCTGCAGCAAGAGATTAAAATCAGAGGGCTGAGGGGAACAACACCCGCCCCCAGCAGCCAGTGCCACCCCTGCAGCAATGGTAAAGGAGATCCTGAACCAGCCCAGGGCAGGTAAGGGGCCAGCTTGTGCCCAAGGCAGCCTCATGGCACCAGAGAGCAGCCATCCTCCTCCTCACCAGCCCCTGAGCCTTCCTCCTCCTCACAGAAGCAGCAGCCCATCAGCCGGGAACAACACCGAGCTTCCTTCATTTCTCCACCACACACAGGTTGGACTCCTTTCTGTGGCACAGGCCCCACAGAACCACTCTGTATCCGATTCTCCTGGTGGACAAGAGTGTGCATTTCCAAGAACAACACAGAAAGGCTCCTGCTCTGCCTTACTCAGAGCCATGGCAGACACCTGATGGCTTGAAGGCAGCAAAACCTGCTCCTTCCAACTCCCGTTTCCATCTTTCAGCCCTCACAGAAGGGAATCCCATTTCTCAGAACCAGCACAGCTGTTTATCCACCTCCTGCTCCTCACTCCCCTCACCTGTATTCACCCCAACCCTAACCCGATGATATGGGAGGTCTGAACTCGGAGATGCTGAGAAATTCCCCAGACTCAGAGGTAACCTCCAACATCCCCTCCTTCCTTGGGCACCTCCCAGGGTCACCCTCTGGACACAGGCACCTGCTCTGCAGCAGGGATGCTCCTTCCACCTCTGAACACCCACGGTGTCCCCCCAGAACAACACACACCGGGGGCACGTGGGAAGAGATTCCATAAGGAATCCCGCGGCTGGAATTAAGCCATGGATCGAGTCACACAGCTCCTGTGCTGGGGTAACACCGGGCACTGAGGTACCGGCCAACGCTGCCACACACAGAACGGCAGCACCGGCCCCGGGCACTGAAACACCATCCACGTTAAAACCGGGCTCCGAACACGGAGCAGCCCCACACCGGGAGCAGAACACTCACAGGGTAAAAGGAAACTTTCCCAAGGAGGAAAACTTTCCCAGAGGCTCCGGTGAGAATCGCACGGGGTTTGTCCTGAAAGGGGGAAGAGCGAGAGCCCAGGGCAGAAACAGCGCTGCTTTTACACGGGACAGGGCCCTGCAGCAGCACCGAACCGAGTCTGCCCGGGAGAACCCATCAGCGGCGCGGCCGCGGCCCTCAGGAGCCCCGGTTACCGGCTCCCACCAGGGCTCCTCGTGTCCCAGGGCGGGACAGGCCTCAGCGGCACCGTACCGGGGCCCTTCGAGCGCGGCCGGGCACGCTCCGCACGGAGGCCCGCCTGGAGCTGCGGCGGGCCCGGCTCTACGGCGCTACCGACACCAATGCGCAGGCACCGCGCTCCCGGCCGGGGCCGCCCCGTCCCTCCCCAGCGTGGCGGCAGGAAGAGCCGGGGCGCTCCCCCGGGCCCGGTGGGCGCCACTCACCTGGTAGCTGAGCAGCTCCCCCACGTCCATGGCACCGGCCGGGCCCCGCCACCGCGGAACTGTCGCCAACAACCGGGGCCGCAGGACACCGCGCCGTAAGGCAGGGAGCAAGGGAGAGCTGGAAGCGCGCCACACTGCCGGAAAGCAAGAGGCAAAAGCACCACACCGTCGCAAAGCAGCCGGGGCTACTTATTATAGCCGGCCGAGGGCAAAGGTCACGGCGGCCTCCGCGCTCCTGCGCCAGCTGCAAGCGCGTGTTCATGTATCCTTCCGCCGAGCCCCGCGCCAGCGCCCCCCGTCCGCACCGCTGGGCCGCAGCGTCAGCGGCTGCACTCGAACCGTTCGAACGCTCAACCATTGTTTAGCGTTCGCAGCTTAACAAATGGGAGCAATTAAAGAGCCTGGCCGGATTTATTGTGACTTAGCGTTAGGAACCAGCTCTGAGCTGCAATGCTCCCGCACAGCACCGCCTGCAGCTCCTGCCCGGCGGGAGCCCGCGCTGAGCACTCACCAAATTAAAGATATAGATAACGTTTGGAGCGTCCCGTGGCTCCGTTACAGAGCGCGGCATCCATCATGCCAGAATTAACACAACAAATCTGTGCGTGGAAGATGGGATAAAGGGATCATGAGCGCATCCTCTGGCTCTGTGTGTGCAGCACTGGGGTCATTCCAGCCGGGACACGGCCGCATCCCTCGAGCAGTGCTGGCCCAGGGCAACAAACACCCCCATGGCTGTCAAACCTGCAACGTGCAGCAGGAGACCCGGGGTGCAGGCAGGCACCGGGGATGCTCACGGCCAGGTTGGGCACGGGGGCTCGGAGCAAGCGGCTCTAGTGGAGGGTGCCCTTGCCCGTGGCAGGGGTTGGAGCTGGAGGAGCTTTAAGGTCCCTTCAACCCAAACCGTTCCATGGTTCTATGATCTATGAATACTCTTCACTCAGAAGGGCAGCTCCCGCTCTCCTCGTTAGGGGAAGGGATAGAGCAGGGGCGATTCGCTTCCCCGGGAGGACTGGGGCGGGGGGGAACGTTCAGAGAAACACAGTCAGGAATGTGAGAAGCTGCTGCATTAACTGCCCTAAACAAAACGCGATCGCCGGGAGCCTGCAGCCCCGCGGGGAAGGCGCAGCAGCCCAGGGGCCGTTTCTCACCCTGCAAAACCGGCAGAGCCCCGCTGCTGGGGACGGTGAAAGCCCCGGCGCTTACAGCCGGGAATGGGAACGGAGAGGGGGGGCAGCACCTCCCGTCCCCTGCGCCGTGCAGGGGGGATACCCCGAGCCCCCGGACGCAGCTGGAGGCGAAGCCGGAGCATGTGGGAGCCCCCCGGGCCGTGCTACTGCTGCGGGCAGGGCCCCGGCCCCCGCACGCCTGCCCTAGAGCCCCTCTGTGCCGCCAGCACCCAGAAGGGACCCGCAAAGGCTGCCCCGAGCGAGGCGCTGGAGCAGCGGCTGGGGGCAGCGGCGGGGGCAGCCGAATCCCGGCTTCATTTTATGGCGAGTTCAGGTTTCAATCCAGATGCTTTGAGATCTAATTCTGAATAAATAATTGTACTGAGTAACCCGGGTCCCGCGGTGATTAACTAAACACACGGAGCCTCGCAGAAATTGAATTAGTGCTGTGCACTCAGCCGTTGTTGCCCTCCCCACGTCATGAATAGTGATGAGGGGTTATTAAGGAATGTAAATGATGCCTCAGGGGGTTGGGAGCACGGGGGTGCAGGGCCGTGTGGGCTGATAGGACAAACCATTAGGAAAACAGCCTGATTGAAGCCACTTTCTAATTATGTCAGCTCTCTCTTCCGCGGGTGCTGCAGTGCTTCCGGATGCTTTCGGTGTTATTAAAATGGAAAAAAGGGAACGAGTTGGAGCTGGAATGTGAAATGAGTGTTTGCGAAGTGGAAAAGCCGCAGTACGGGGGACGGTGGGGCCCTGCCTGCAGCCCTACACCCCGCGGGACCCCAGCACCGCCACCAGCCCCAGACACCGCAGCTGCAGCCCTGGCCTGCAGTTGGGCATCGCTGGCCAGGAGAGGCTCATGCATTTTAACAGGCTCTTGCCGGCGCTCCCCGCGCCACCGAGCAGCGCTGACAGGGGCAGCTCGGTTAATCAGAGTGGATAATGGAGGCAAAGGAAGAAATCTCAGACCAAATTGCTGCAGGAATCATGAGCCGGGGCTCGAAGCTATCCAATTAAACTGGGGGAAGCTTAAAGGGAAAGACGGCTTCTCCCAGCCGTGTCCCACTGCAGCAGGAGAAGGGGGACGGGAAGGATGTGCTCCTGGTGCTGTCCTGGGCATCATGGTCCAGCCAGCACTGCCACATCGGTGGGCTGCCTGTAAAACACAGGGGTGTTGGGGTGATGAACACGGCACCAACCCAGCCCTGGTTGTGCTGTGGCCCCCATTCAACACCACCACTCCCCCGTGCTTGTGCCCTGTGTCACCACCTGAAGGGCTCAGGCAGCGTTGAAGTTAAACAGCCCACATCTAACGTAGTCGAGGCCCGTTACTGCAGCATCACCACGGTGTGACCATGGACAGACGGATGGGAACACACACGGGAGCCGGTCAGGATTCAGGTCTCTCCACACTGACGGCTTCATGACGCCAGGCTGGCCTCTTAATTGCACCTGTAAATGTGAAATTACTGAAGGGTGAAATGCAAACAGGCTGGAATCTTCCCAGCGCTCACACCAGCTCTGCGCCAAGCCCGGCTGCCTGGTTCCCTCCCAAACCCCAGCAGGGTCACACACTGGTTCCACCAAGCTGCAGGGACACTGGGAGAAGCCGCAGGCTGCCCATGGCACCTCCTCCAGCCCCACAGCACCCCAGTGAAAGAGCAGAACCCGGAGCCTTTGACACCCTCCCTGGTGCTGCCTTCCAAGGCCAAAGGGGCCCAGTGCAACCCCTGCCATGGTCCTGGGGAGAGGACCATGCCCATCCTGCCATCCATCCCACCATACGGTGCTGTCACCATCCTGGCACAGCTGGAGCCTCGAAGCCAGAGCAGCACCTTATTTATGGCTCTGTTTCTTCAAGTTAAACTCCACAAAGTGTGACAATCAAAATTAAAGGTTTCTGCAGGAAGGCGGCCGGGGGGAAATCAGTGCCGTGGCCAACGGAGATTTCCCAACGGTGACTTTTAAATTAAAGGGGAAAAAAATCCCTTTAATTTGGCAGCGTGCTCGGGCTGCAGCTCACTGGGCGCGTTATTACCCAGCTCAGCAAATGCTCCCAGAATTTGCTCGCACTCCAAATTACCCATCCCTCTGCAAGGCAGCACATCCCTGCCTGTGCCAGCACCGGGGGCCTGCAGCATAACCTCGAGTGGGGCTGGGACCACGCTGTGCCCCCCCCACCCCTATCCCAGCTCCTGGCTAATGGAAAATGACTCCTGCAGACCTGAATCCTGACCTCCTGGATGCTGGGATTCAGCATGGGGACGCCCGTGCTGAAATGGCCATGCTTCAGAACCCTCACACTGGCACAGCCCATCCCCATTCCCACTCCCAAGCCCTCCAAGTATTTCATGCTGCAGATCCAGATGGATGGGCTGGGGGTGCTGGCCCGGCCTGGGAGCAGAGCCGTGGGGGGCACGGGCAGCCCCCGGCCCCCCGCCCTGTGCAGTTCTTCCCCTTCTCTCCCCCCGCCCCTTCAACGTGAGGCAATGAAATTATTTTTCTACTTGAGTAGTTTTCAATTTAGATTAAGAGCAATCCGTGCTCCGCTCGCGCCGCCGCGGTAAATCAGCGCCCGGGGCTGACGGCGCGATCGCTTATCGCCCGCAACCCTGCTGCACACTGACAGCCTCCAAGAGTGACATTGAGCGAGGGCAGCAGCAGCGCGGCGGGACGCCGGCCTGGCATGCACCGTGGCACCGTGCTCAGCCCCAGCAGCAGCAGCAGCAGCGCCCGGTGCAGGCAGAGCCAGAGACACAGTGGGCACAGCTCGGCACCGTGCTGGGGCTGCACTGAGCACATGCTCCAGAGCCGTGGCGAGTCCTTGCTCCCACCCGTCCATCACCACCGGGGATACGGTGACAGGCACCATGGCTGTGACAACACCATCACCAGCTGCCCCACGGCCACACCGGGAGCTGATCCCCGTCCTCTGTCCCTGTGCTGCCGCTGTCCTCATGCCAGCACCATCAAAAGGAGAATTTGACAGAAAACAAACCCTTTTTTTCTGCCTCTGGTTGTTGCGGCTCGTTTATCGCTCGCACCGGGGCAGGCAGAGCTGTCAGTGCCTGAACCTCACTCATCCGTTTAACCTTGGGGGAAGAAACACATTTGTGCCGCATAACATGCATCAGATGGTGGCACAGGGAGCGCCTGTAGCTGCTGCGCCTGATGGATGGGCTACAGGGGCCTCGCCTGACCTGTGCTTGTATGTTATCTGCATTGCTGCAGGAGGCTTTTCATCACAGCGACAGCTCCAGCATCGCCTGCCTGGCAGGAGCTCCTCGCCAGGGACAGCTGCAGGCAGCAGCAGCAGCCAGGAGCGCCCGGCACCGTGGCACCACGGCACCGCAAACCACGGGCCCAGGCAGGGTCTGCAGGCTGTGCCCGGCTGCACTGGGGATGGAGGGATGGGGACAGCCCGGCCAGGAGCAGAGCTGGTG